CTAAGCGTGGGAACATATGATGATAAGTCATTAGAATCTCACACATCGGTTCATTTTATTAATAAAATAACTTATCTTAAGTTTGTTAAGAAGAAAAAACCAGTCTCCAGTAAGGATCGAGATTGTCAGTTGAAGGTCATAATTTGGAGTCTAACGTGAGATAGGCAGCAAGTGCAAGATCGAGCACTGCCTACAATCAGGAAGTCTTAAAGTTAGATATCCGTTCGAAGAAACATCAAAGTTACGGTTATTACTTAGGATGAAGAGATAACGTATGGAGTCATCATCTGAGCCTTGTTTCATTGATGATTCCGGGATGTAATCATCCTAATGGGGAGATAATTGTAACGCTCGTAGATTCGGGCTAGTCAATTTAGAGATAATAGGGGTCGAAAACGAATTTTTTGACAAAAGATTATTTATAATAAATAATCTTAACCAAGTTGTAGAATACGTCTCAAGGGTTCCTACATATAAAGAACGTTGAAATCCGAGTTATAACGAAGAAGTTATGGCCCTCGAAGTTTTACGACAAAACCGGCACGACACCGGGAGACGTAAATAGTGAATTTACGATGCACAGCTTTTTAGCCTTAGAAATCTAAAAAAAAAAAAAAAAGTTGTAGTATACGTTAAACCGAGACCATATAAAAAAAGAACGCCCAAATCTGACTTTGTATGAGGAAGTTATGAATTTTCTAAGATTTGGCTTAGCAGTGCACAACCCAAAACTCGAATTTTAGATCGAGCGGCTTTTGGTCTATGCGACCTAAATGAGAATTGAAGAACTTATTAATAGGAAATCAACAGTAAAAAGACAGATGAAAACAGAGTTCGTATGTAGAAGTTATGAATTTTACGCGGACATTTAGCAGTATAATCTCCTTGTACTGTTAAATTTAAGATCGGGTAGAGAATTAGCCGACAGAGTCAAAATGAAAGTTGTAGATCTTATTTTTACCTACGCGTAGATGTGAATAACATCAAAAACGGAGATTGTATGTGAAAGTTACGGATTTTAGAAGTTAGAAGTGTGTTGTGCGAAAATGGGTGATGTGACACAATCTTTGTCATTGCATTGTCCCCAAGTCTTGCTACTAGATGGTAACATGTGGCACCAAGTTTAGCCATTTTCACCCTATAAATAGAACCTCTCCCACCCTCATTTTCTTCACACCTTTCCCATTCTTTCTTCTCTTTACTATCTGTCTAGAACCTCTCTCTACCCCCGAAAAGCCTAAGGAGCCTCCCTAGCACGAGGCCGAAGCCCCTAAGTGCTCGACGGCTTCGAGAAGAAGAGATTATTGACTCAGGAACGCTGCTCCAAGAAAAGCCCGGTTTTCTATAAAACCCGTTGTAAGTGAGCTACACCTACGCTATTTTTAATATAGCTTTTATTTCATTATAGTAACGTTATTAGGAACTTATAATAAGTACTTGGGCTATTATTATGGGTTATATAAGTATTGTTTAACGCTTATATAATAGTAATAATAGCTAGACTATTAATTAGTCTCGGTGAATAATATACTAAACTCTAGTGGTAATAATACTAGGTTTCGTCGAAGAAAATTATTTTTAAGAGGCGAAGCGCTGTTTGAGTTCGGAATCGCCAACTTTTCAAGTGAATGCATAGTTATTTTCATCTTACACATAGATATGAAGTATTAAATATAAATTACATGCTATGTATGCATATTGTCTGAATACTTGCTGTCTATGTTGGATGAAATATATTTATACACATTTTAAATGATTTAAACTATATATCTATTTTATATCTACAAAATGTGTTGGGTAAAACATGGGTAGATGTAATAGTTTTTGTTGTAAAGCCATAATTATGGATCACAACCATTTGTAGGGGGTTTTAAGGGAACCATATTGCATGCAGTAGTTATGGATGAGAAAAACTATATTATGTCTGTTGTACATAGAACATGAAAAAAAAGTGACCTTACATGGAGTTGGTTTTTTGGTATATAAATGCATTGATAATTGTCAAGATTTCACCTTTGTAACTGATAGGGCCAATGCAATTCGGGTTAGTATTGAAAATGTTTACCCAAACACTCACCATGGCATGTGTGATTTTCATATACTCAGAAACATAGTACCCCGGTTTGGGAAAAATGATAAAAAAAAAAAAAAAACCAAACAAACAAAAAAAGTCTTGTTTTGGAGGCTTGTGAGAGCTTCCCAAACAAATGTATTTGATAATTTGTAGTATAGATTTAGTTCTACTAGGCCGCAAGTAGCGGCGTACCTAAACGAAATTCCACATGAAATGGACAAGAGTGTATTCCCCGTTGAAATGGTATGATTGCATGACCTTCAACAGTGTAGAGTCCATGAATGCTTTATCTGTAGATGCAAGGAAGATAACTATAATACCCCTTCTCGAGTTCTTCTTCTGTCTTTCACATGAATTGTGTAACAAGCATCGCATCGATGGAGGTATGACTATAATTAGGTAATATGATAATTTAATTATATATATATATATATATATACACACACACACACACATATATATATATACACACACACACACACACACACACATATATATATATATATATATATATATATATATATATATATATCTTCTTTATAAAGAAACGTTCAATAGTGCTAAAAAAGTGGGTTGAAAAAGTAGTTAACAAAAATGATGAGCATACGACAGGACGGTCCATTTCAGGTGTTTAGATGCATTATATCAAGTACATGATTTTAAACATGTTGGCATAGTTGATCTGAGGCAAGAGACTTGTACATGCAAATATTGGCAAGGAACTGGTTTGCCTTGCGTTCTAGTCATAATGGTCTTAAAGCACTTAAAAAAAATTAAGTTTAGATATCTTGCTATAGATGCTTACGAAATGGAAACGTACCTAAGTACGTATGAGCAGGTGATTTACTCCCTTCCGGGACTGTGTGATTTTGAGCTTCCTGTTGAAATGACGGTTTTTAATCCCCCAATAATGGATACACGCCAAGTTGGTAAATCGAAAAACAAAATTTTTATCCCATCACAAGGTGAGGAACCTATAGTAAGAAGGTGTAGTAGATGTGATAGTACAACACATAATGCAACGGCTTGTCCGACATTTGTCCCAATGAAGCAAAAGAAGCCTAAAAAATGTAGCATGATGTCAAGTAGTAAGACAAAAGCGAAAGGGACGCAAGGGACGCACTGGATGCCCCGACACGCACGAAACTCAAGGGACACAAAGAGAATATTATTATTAAATTTTTGATTTGAATGATTGATGTACTATTTATAATTAAGTATGTTACATTTCGGAAGATGTGGATTGTATACTTTGATTACTCTATCAAGTAAATTAGATTTTTCTAACATTAGATAACTAAGCCTTACATAAAAAACACAATAAAAATACATATAGATAATCTAAAAACATAAACATTTCTTTTACCAATTATTAACTTTCGGGAACTGCTTTGGATACTTTTCTTTCTCCATTGTTATATAGTCATCGCTAATTCTCATTTTATCTTCAAAATAACCCTTGTGTAAACTAAGATTTAACATCTTTGCATCCTTCTTAGCAACCCACTTTTCAGTCATTTTGATACTCTACTTAGTATTTTTCATCCATTCTTCAAGCTCTTTGATTTTCGTTTTTCTTGATATCTATCAATTGTTCGGCCTTTTTGCATTCTGTTGCAATGAATTCAATACATTCAGTGAGATTCTAAGATGGCTGTTTATCCTGTTTTTTTGTTCTTCAACCCATTTCAATTTTTTCATAGTTTCATCGGACATATATGGCCCTTCTAAAGAGGCTATAACAAAAGGGTCGATTGGATCACAGTAGTAACAATCAACTTAGTTGCAGAACCAAATCTGAAAATTTAAAGATGAACTCATTATGAAGTTGAAAAAGGATATTTTTTTATATGAACTCATAATGTCAAGTTATACACCATTTAACTCCACGGAAGTTACCTAGTAGTCCACATAACTGACTTGTCAAGGGTACTGTGATGGTTTTCTAAGGTGGTTTGAGCGTCAGTGTTGAAGGTATTGGTTAAATGAGGCCAAAACATTGTATCATTCAACATGTTGTTCTTGTAGACATTAATATATACACGAGTTAGAAGCAAATACTCCTCAGCGGTCCACGGTTTTGAACCCATTGTGAGAGATACAAAGTAGAATTAGTGATATAGATTAGACAGGTTGATATAGATTTTTGAGTTATTTTATAGTGAAATGTAATTTACGACTTCTCAATCCGCATAACTAACTTGGCAGTCTGTAGAAGTGACTTGGCAGTCCACGAAATGAATATAATAAAAAAATAAAAAACACATATTTATATTAAACGAAATTACTAAAAATAGGTATTTCATATTAATATATACAAAGATCCTATAATCAAGTTCAATAGTGTCCCAAATAATATTCGTCATCCTATTTCTGTATATAAATCTCCCATCTCTACATGGCTTTTCGATATTCATCGGTACCCGCAAAACAATCATTTTCATAAACATGCATATGAAAACTCCACAATCCCTTCTAGCTTTGATGTATTCTTGCTGCGATACGTCTACAAGTTCAACAAAGTTCACAATTGAAGTGTCTCTTTGTTCATCGGGGAAATCATTCCCATACTCAATCACATCTAGCTCTGAGATAATATTATCTCCAAAACTTTCGAATTTTCCACTAATGTTGTACCTTGTGAAAAAATTCATAGCATTAAGACTATCCAATAGTAGATGATTTTAAACATCATTAATGTCTTCATTCACAATGCCTCCATTTTCTTTTTCAGGACGCTCCACTACTTTTTTTTCCTTGGTTTAGTAATTTTCTTCAATTTAGGTGTGGTGTCCATTTAAAAAATTAAAATGTTGATTAGTTATCAACAACGTAATATTTTAAAAATACACCAAATTTAGATTAGATTAATACCACCGTGAATGGCATCCACTGATACCATGAAAGACCCCTCATTCGTTGTGGCCTAATAATAGGAGTGATTGTTTCTTTTGTGATGTTGAACCACGTCCGGTGATGGCTCAACATATTGCCACGTAGTTGTAAGCCCAACTTTTACCTCCAACCCATGAATAAATGTATCATCATAATTCAACTCTTTACCATGGTGATATGTTTCTTCATCCTCTTCATTTACCATGTCCTCCCCACTAAACAATGTATTTGGTTTATCTTTTTTCTTTAATACATGGTCTACTTTAGAAGTTAAGTCAGCCACAATGCATATTATATGCTTCATTAATGTCTTTGTGCTCGTCTTGTTCTTCTTTATCGACATTGTTGATGTATCTCTTGACATATAACTTCTTTCTACTTGAGGTTGTTGCGAGGTAGAAGAATTTATGGTCATTTCAATCGAAGATGTTTCCGACTTGTACTTATTTGTTCGAGGAGGCAAGGCAACAATAAGTGGTGGACTTTAATTCCGTATGGGAGATTATTCATGGTTAAGAGTCCAATTCACATAGCGAATATAAAACGGCTCCATGATCTCCGTCTTGTTTGCCACGACAACAGGCTGGTTGTGAGGCTGCAAAAATCAGATTGTTAGTTTAACATGAAAAAATATTGGTGTTTTTTCTCCACGCCCTCATTTGTGGAAATTTTGTCGGCATTTGAACATAATATTGTGTTACCCCTAGGGACGCCTCCAAAATCCATATCTATGGAAAAAAAAGGAAGTATGATGCTATTATAGTATAAGAATAAAAGTATAACGATATTATATTGTACAAACAGAAGTACAATGCTATTATGGTAAAAAAATATGATAACTATTTAAATACATTAGAAATTAACTTTAAATGGAAGTGTAAAACTGGGAACGGTATACTTGTTTACTTTCTTCGATTCACGATTTGTCTGCTTAAATATTTTATATTTGTCTATTTTCCTAAACATTCCACACATCAAACCCGAAGTATAGGTCTAGAAATATGTACCCCATGCAAACTTGCAATTTTCAATTTATTTATTATAATTCTTTTCGTATTTACAAATAATTTTTAAATGTAATAACTGTTCCAATCATATATATTATCATCAAGTTTGTATATTGTTGCGGGAATTCACGTTTTAACGTCTCGTACGTAGAGAACATTCAACATAAAAACTAGGTGGATAACGATTACCACATTTTCATCCTGAAGTTGCAGATAATTTGGAGACATAATGTAATATTTCTAAATCTCTGAGCCACAAATGTGCATTTGTAATCTTTGGGAAGAACCGAGCCCGAAGATTTGAATTTAACCGGCCTTTTTCATCATGGAGTAAATAGACATAAGGACAAACTCTTAACCCACTAATCAAAATATACTCTGTTTCACCAAAATCCAACTGCACCCTTTGTATCTCAAGCGGAAACATCCCCGATTCATACACTTCTTGAGACCATACTTCATGCAACATCATCAAATGCACGATTAAGGGGTCACAATTGTGGACATGCATTCCTAAGAATCTTCCAAACGGTAAAGCTTCAAATAATGTTCGTTGCAATTGACTTAGCCGCGGAAAATAGTCTTTAATTATGGTACCGACCACACTTTTTAAAGTTAAATCAACTTTTTCTTGGAGATCATCCTGCTACAAAACATATACATTTAATTTAATATAAACCGTTAGTAATTGAAGATAAAAACAAGGTTTAAAAATTACAGAGTAAATTTGATGAAGACAATAAACAACAACGTACTTTCAGTTTACATTATAAAAGTAAAAAAAAAATACCCAATTATACCATTCATATCAATTTACATAAAAAAATTAAATGGCAACGTTCTTTCAAATTGATTTCTATAAAGGGTTCATTTTGAAATTAATTGTTATAAAAAGGAAGGAAAAAAGGGAAATTTGGAAATTTAGGTCATTCTGCAGAGGGTATATGTAACTCCGTAGAGACCCCTATGTGGAGTGACCTATCCCCTTCATGGAATGGATCTTCGGAATTTTAGTTCCATTTGCGCCTATTTACATGTTATGAATTGCATATTCATATCATTTTAATCCTAAATCTAAACAATACGAACAAGGAAAACATTACTATAAAGAACATGAAAACGGATTACCCAGGAGTCGTATCCATCGACGAAAATGTTGGGGAAATGCCGATCCATCTGTTGTCACCGGAAAATTGTTGGGTTTTATACATAGCAAACAATCCTATGTGTGCATGCAATCCTAATTTGAGGATCTATATTTTCACTATTAAACATACAAGCATTAAACACAAAAACTAGAAACCCTTGGAGGCACATGTAATTTTTGAAATTAACATATAGTTAGGGTTAGGATACATATCTTTATTGTTATATTGTAATAACAATCAAATCCTTGAAGATCTTGAACTTTGGTAGCAAGCGCCACAAGTGTCGCGCCTCTAATGGCTCACAACAAACCTAGCAACCAAGGATTACTATGGTGAGAGAGAAGGGAAGTGAAAATTCGGCTCTAATCCTTTCTTGCAGTGCATGGGACGAAATCCAACCCTATAGGGGTTTATATAGGTGATAAAGAAGGTTTAGGATAAGGCATGTCTCTCTTAGATAACCTTAATCCCTTAACTTCCTCCCTAAGGCTTCTAAGGCACCCTTAGAGCCCAAGGAAACCCTAGGACACCCTAGATTTCATTCGTCAAATCTAAGGGAGGTTTTAGAATGCTCGATGCTCAACTTTTGAACATTGTCACCTTTAATCCCTACAGTTTCAATTAATTCCTTTAATCCTAAACTTAATTTCAAATTAATTTTTGATTAAATATTATTTAACCAAGAAGATTTCTAATTAATATACTATATCCATAATACATTAATAAACCATTTATCTTGATTTCAAATTAATTTATTAACCAAGTAATAAATTAATAAATCATTTTTCTCTTTCCAATAATTATCCTATTCAATTGCCATGTTTGAAGGCAACCCAAAAGTACATTGTTACTATGAATTCAAGTACATACCAATTATAGTTATGGGCTTAGACACCTAATCCAATACTCTTCCACTTGGATAACTCTAATAACTATAGTTGCAAGTATAACTTCAAAAACTAACTAGCAAATTTTAGCTACCAAAATTCGTTGTCGAACTCTGACCTAGTCAGTGACGTGTCCTTAGATAAGGGATCAAATATTCCTCTGTTCTACAAGATATCATATGGACATTACGTATAGATTATAATCAATCTATGTCCAATAGTTTTTTCCCGATTTCCGATTTAAGACGACTGACAACAAACTATAATTAAACACATCAACTTAGGCCAGGCTTCACCAAGCGCTTAGGGTGTCATCACTAAATCGTCAAGGGGCCCACATATATCGCTTTTATCCCACATTGGGTAAAAGGAAGGGATAAACTTTGACTCATATGCTTTCTCTATTTACGCATCAAATCACACACAATGATATATTTTATAACATCAAGTTACTAGTGAGTTTAGATATCATCAATGTGCAACTGACATGTAAACTGCAACTCATATCTCTTGGTTTCAAGAATGTAAGATATTATCGTCTCACAATCACTCTTGATAAAATCCATGAAGTGATTCACGTGAACATGGGTTTAATCCAATACTCAAATCTTATTTTAGGAGCACTCATGAACACTGCAGAAGACTTTTGCTATGTCTAAACGCTTTAGACAATCTACGGTTGGATTCATGACAGTCTTACCTCATTACCTACTCCCAAAGTATAATTAACTGTAGATGTTTGAATAATCTTATTATTCGGGAAGTCAAAACATGCAAAGTGAAACACAGGAATAATTAAATCCAATATGGCCTCAAAACTTGTGAGAGTAAATAAAACACCTTATTATTTAATCACCATATTTATTACACATTATTCATTGTATAGTGTTTCGGTTAATCAGCTTAATACTTGAATCAATAACAATAGTTGTCCCATGCTCCAAGCATGTACACTATGTTTACTTATGGTCCTTACTTTGTGAAATAGATCAATTGAACACATTTCTAATGATGCTCATTTCACAATTCCCAATCCTCATCATAAGTGTAAGAATACCAAATTCTTGCCACTACTAGAATATGTTAGATTGTAACATTTTGCAAAAATTTCCTTTTGTAATGACATAGCACCAACGTAACAAATACTTTGCTAATGAAATTAGAAAGTGCTCTATTGGAGATTGTTACCAGACAACTCCACAGATATGTAGTCTCACATTCAAAGTACATTCCTTTGAACATCCTTCTTGCATAAAATTTTCTAATCTACATAGATTCTTATATCCAACTCCCATTATGGATACATTTCCATATTTTTCATATGAAAACTCATTCTTAATAGAATCCTATCTATTCATAATAGTTTCAATATGTACGATTAATTACTATACTTCCAACTCCCCACAAGCGACCAATCCTTGGGGAACCTTAGATTGTCCTTGATAGTTGTTTAACTTACTTTAGTCATATTCGGTTGTAGTCATTTTTCCATCTTAATGCCCTAGACATTTGAAAAATTAGATCGGTTGAATATTACAACTTATGCAATCGATGCTATACCCAAAGCGTATGCGATACGATACATAACGACATGATACTTTATCAGTCTACTGCTACAATATATATATATATATATATATATATATATATATATATATATATATATATATATATATATAATTCCCATTTGTTAAGTCTTTTCAAAATAACATTCATATATGTCCTTTGAATAAATTTGATTAAAAATTCTCGATCTAAGCTTTTAGATTTTAAATGAAGTATAAGTTTCTCTCCCTTAATTATTGAAAATGAGTTTTCAACTTCTACAACTTTGCGAATTGAAACTTTTTTTTCTATAATTAATATTTCTAACTTGCAACATAATAATCATGCTCCCATTAACATGATAATTACATCTTTACTTGCACAACACTTATGCTCCTACTAGCTTTGACATGCATTTAGAAAACAGCTGGACTCCTAGAAATCAATACTTATTGATTTTTTTACCAAAGTTCAAATTTCTGATACATGGTGTTTCGATAAGACTTTATCTAAGCTCATACACATTTTATTAGAAAGCTCATATACATGTCTAAGCTATTTCAGAACGTATATCAAAAAGTTCCAAATGTTCATACTATTGGCCAAATCTCACGATTCGAACCATGAAGAGGGATGTGGTAATCATGATCGGATTTGAGAATGCAATTTTCAAAATTGCTATCGATTTTCATGGTTGATTTGGATTAGAAAATATGAGTTTGGATTGTCATATGAGTTTGCTTTACCAGTGCGCCAAATCATTGTTGATTCAACATCAATTAGCAAATATGTCAAATCAATGAGGGTTACGTCATGGTCCATCATATAGTAATCAGTAATTAGCTCACTATATGAGTCATGAAGTGATTGAAGAACCAAGTCAACAGTCACCTTCCTTGAGACAACGACACCCAACATTCCCAACTTGTCAATATGCAACTTCATCTCCAAGACGTAAGCACATATAAACTTTTCATCTTCGTGTCTGCTTGCCAATGGGGCTTGAGTAACCTTGAACATTTCAAGTCTTCGAACACGTGGGCCAGGGAGAATTATTGGAGGAGGTGGAGGAAGTGAAGCATGATTTCCATTTCCATGATCCAATCACCGAACATCATCTTCATATGGAAAGCTTTTCCAAAGGATTCGAGAAGATCATAATTGTTAGATTTTGACATCTACAAAACAGGATAAATTCAAGTTAGTTGATTCAATCCTTAATATAACACCTAAATGAAATATCAAGGCTAGGACCCAATACGATATTCTACAACTCGGAAGCGGGATGTTTTAATCCAGCTGCAGAATATTTCAAGATAGGTAAATGATGATTTACCAATTTCCACCATAAAAAAATGAAAAATTGAAAATTAGGTATTAAATGAATTGAAACTCCTAGATCTTTTGAAATCCATTGAAGTTTTTAATGACATGTTTAATCTCGATTATGCCCTTCAAGTTTGTAACTGGGATGCCGAGGATCACAAACAATGTGTGAATAACCATGCAAATTAACTTGGTACTCTCGAAGACATATATCACCTAATCAATGTGTCGGTTAACCACACACGCTCCATTGATCAACGATAATATACGAGCTACCCATTGCCATCATTTATTGGTCCCATATTAGTGTGCCAGTTAACCACACACGCTCCACTAACGACTAACAAGGTGCAATGTGCAATTTCATGAATTAGCACCAAATTCACATTTTTCCTAAAGTAACTAAGATTTGGAAATTTATAAAAGTGTTTAGTTACTTCGTATTTCATTATACTAATAATGGAAGGTTATGTCATATCCTACCCGTTTGGCTAACGACCATCGACTAGTCAACAGTGCGGTGGGTAAAAATGGATACCCAATGGCGGTCGTTTTACAGGCTGCTTCCTTAAACACCCTTATAGACTAGCTTCGTGAATGAGACTTACTAACGGTAAGGCTAACCTTTTACTTAAATATATATATATATATATATATATATATATATATATATATATATATATATATATATATATATATATATATAAGTATTAAGCTTTTAATATTATAATAGTATAATGGTGTATTTTAAACATTTCAAAATACTAGGGTCTTTAATCAAATTTAAAATTTCGAAAAATTAATACCTTTTAATTTTTAAATCTTAAATATTAAAACTTTGATTTAATAATTATCTAGAATTAAACAATTAATTTAAATTATTAAATTTTAAAGGATTATCCATTAAATTAAATAATTAATTTAACCTAATCCCTTTATCCCCTAGATTTCGAAAATTGGGGAAGGAATATTTCAAAATTTTTAGTTATCCATTTAAAAAATCAATAAGATAATTACCAAAGATAACATTATCCTAATCCCTAAAATTTTGAAATCTAATCTTTGGGATGAAGGTATTTTTGAAAACCCTAGGGTTTACCAACCCTAAAATCGAAAATATGGGGCCAAAGGAAAAGGGTTCAAGAAACCCTAACAAATTTCGAAAACTATGGTTTTGAAACCCTAATTTCGAAAATCCAAGCAATAGGGTTTATTTGCTATAAACCCTAATTTGTCAAATTCACACTTTTGTATCAAATCTAATTGAAAA